GGCCATTAGTTCACTCAGGTGGATGTGTTTGATTCGTTACACTTTGAGACCATTGGAGGTGCTATCAGCTGCAGAGTTTATGATATTGGAGAAGGGTTGCAAACTCTTCTATTGGATTGAGGTCGTTTGGGGCCATTTGGATGAACTACGTAAGGCTTGATTCCTTGGGTAAGAGGATACATAGGCAGTCATTTTATGATGCAACCGATTTGGTGAGTTGATATCGATATTTGGAGAGTGTTCACATTATCATTTGAATTCTTGACTTGTTGTGGATTGAGTCCATTGTTGTGAATTGTTTCACTTCGTACTAGACGCAATAAGTGAGACATTTGGTTTGGTTGGTGTTGGTTTAGTTTTGGAAAAACTTCGCCGATGTGGAGAATTATGAACGTGTGAATGGCTAAGGCGGCTGTGTGAGGAGATTTGAGTAGGGGCTACGTGTGTGTTTCTTTTCCTCAATTCTCGTGATCAGCTAAGGCGGTTGTGAAAGTTGAGAGAGGAATTGAAAGTTATTTGAGGGTTTAATTTGTGAGAGCTGTGTGATTGTAAACCCTATTTGTATTCTTTTTCTCTCTAATAGTAGACCCCCCCCCCCTCCCCCTCCTTGCCCCGTGGACACATGCAATTTGCCGAACCACGTTAAAATTGATTGTTCGTGTCGTGATTTGTAACAGTTTATTTAGGTTCCCTCGACAGGTCAATCCTAGAACTGATGAGAAGAAGAGCTGATATCCCACTTTGTTGAGATATTTTGCTTTCGGTTCTTGTTTTCTTTGTGAAACAAGGATTTAGTTGGGATCTACTCTCTTGTCGAGCACCAGAGGTGCTGCCGAAATTTTCGCTGCGCACAACAAAATTGACTTGGTGGGTAAGTCAGGAGTGTCTTTAAATAAGACACCGTATTCTAAAAAATTTTAGTAAAGAGGGAGAGATGTAATATTCTTGTAATTAGGATTTAACTGAACGTGTAACCATGTTCAAGGATATTGTGAGAGAGAATGTTTTTTATGTCTTTGTTCGTATAAATAATTATAATTTAGTGATAACAGTGGATTGTCTGTAGGTTTTTTTCCCAAAAATTTTTTTATGTTAAATATTGTGTAAGATTCTTTTTAGTGCGTTTGGTATTTTGAGAGTGTTTGAGGGATCTAAAATCCCAACAAATTTTACTGTCATTGCCGGCAAAAACTAGTTTGGTTGATTATTTTGATCCGGACAGAAAATGTTAGTAGGTAAGTACGAGGCTCATGGATATCATATACACAATAAAATACCTCCTTTGCTCCTAAACCCCACAAAACTTGAGGATTAAGAAAGTACCCTAAGGACAAAAATAAAACATGTAGTACATGAAAATCAAGGAGTTATTGTTGGGAAGTGAAGCGTGTGGGCACGCGTGCAAAGAAAAAAAGAGAGCTCGGTCTTTCAAGGAGTCAAAACTCTGACGAGGGATTCCACTGACTGGAGTGGGCCCCACGCTTTTTTGCCAAATTCACGTATAAAATGGTCCCGTATTCTGTGACAAAATACTAAAAATATGATTCTTCATTTATGAATGCATCATTGGAGTGTCACATCTGATGTCAAAATACTTTTGACCTTAACTAGGTTCTCGTAGGTATAATCAAAAAAAGAGTTTAATGTAGACGAGGGTAGCTAGGTTTTGTGGTGGTATTCATGGGGTTTTGTCCCACATTTAAAAAGCTATGAAGGGATTCTTATTAATCTTATATTTTGGATTCATTGCTCCACAAACTACATTAATTCATGTTAGTTAGTATTTCGAAAAATGTTTTCGATTTATTTTAAATGATAAATAACTTTTTAAAGATAATATTTGTATTTAAAAGTAATTATATTTGTCATGGATATATATGATTTAGTAGTTTTTATCGGATATTCCTCTATGTTTATAATTTCATATTGGAAAAATAAGAAAGAGTGATGAATTTAATAAAGAGTTGAGGCAAATACATAAAAACTTAATCTTTTGGTTTAAAATTGGTTTCTAGTCCCTATTGAAGGCCTATTAATCCCAGATTAGGTCGATTTACTCCCCAACAAATGCTAGTAGAGCTAAGGTTGTTGTAACCCAAAGTGAACTTCGATGTCAAGTTTGAAGGACCCCGAAGGGTTCAAGAGAATGACTAGGTTTGGAAGATTAAAGTAGAGCAGGTCAAATTAACCCACAACGAATGTTGGATAGCCATATGATGAATGCATGATTGCCATTCAAGCCAAGTTTGTGAAGTCCGACATTCAAATATAAGTATAATCCCATATTGGAAAAGATGAGAAAGAGTGATGAATTTAAATAGGAGTAAAGACTAATATCTAACAACTTAATTTTTTGGGTTGAAATCGGTTCCTAGTCTTTATTTAAGGCCAAGTAACCCTAAATTGAAGTAATTACTCTGTGGCAAATTCCTCTGTGCTTCTTGCTTCTAGGAATTTCTTGTTGCAGGGCATAAAAGAAGATATATCGTAGGACAACCGTCTTTGTTTGATTATACAATGATTTTTGTCATGTTGGAAGTTAATTAATAGAGAGGGAGGAAAAGAAAGAGAAAATATGGGAATCACATTTAAGAGTTTAATAAAAGGAATAGAAAGTTTATTGATGTCAGTCATTGGTAGTATCTAGCCCCAATCAACTAACCTCATTCAACCCCTCCTGTTGATGTCTGATATCACGCAGTCGAGAGGGTTGGAGTTCTTGTCTTCGCGCTGGCGGAGAATAGGGAGAGGATGAGAGATAGGGTCGACTCCTCCTCCGACTTTATGCCCGATCGTTAGACCGGAATTCCTGATCCTTCTGCACAAACAAGAAGAAAATCGTGGGAGGACGGGACTCATTTCCCCCGTGGTACCTCCGACGGTCAAGTCAGCTGGTGAGCTTGAGTAGGGTTTGAGGAAGAGTCCCTAGGCCATTGAGGTCCTTAGAGGGTACTCTTTGAGAGCTATCAGTTCTTTTTAGCAAAGGTAAATTCAGAGTTTTTATGAAAAAGTAGTAGAAACCCCCCACCCTCTCCCCCCTCTTTTACCTTCTTTCCTCCTTTTATAACCCATCGCCTCTGAGAGTTTGACCCTTGGCTTTGACTATGCACAGGAGGCGGTTAAGGGGTGAACAGGCATGCTGCTGAGTCATCTTTCTCCTTCCAGATGTCAGCTGGTGATTGGAAGGGGAGACATCCGAGTACAGGAGAGAAATGTTTTCTCAGTATCCTAGATTTGACAAATGAGGCATGGTAGAGGATAGGCCAGCTGCTTGGTCGTCCTCCCCCTTCCAGATGGCGGCTGGTGATTGGAGGGGAAGTCATTTGAGCTAGGAGAGCATCATAGCGATCCCTGGGAAGTGACTTGTGAGTAGAATAAGCGGCTTATGCACGGGATTTGTCAGAGCGAAGATCTTGACGGGACTAATCAATACTGTAGTGTTGATTGATATCTGAAGCGAGCTTAGCTGGATCTCATCCCCTTAGTAGAGACGGGTCGGTTCGTGAGTTGTCATTATGATTTTCCGACCCGACAGCCGAGTGAGCTTCGGGTCGAGTGTATGGTAGAGACGTCTGCTCGAGGAGTTGTCTTAATTACGAGGGACCGACTGATCCCGCACTTGGAGTCGGTAATGATGACCCTTGGTCAAAAGATGACTTGTCTGCTTGGCTGGCCGATAGACTTGCCCTTGACTGGACTTTTGGGCCTCTAAGCTGGTTTGGGCTATGGTTTTTTTAAGCCTATGCAGACAATCTTTCGATATCTTCATCTTTAGATGGTAAATTACCATAACACCTCCGAAGTAGTATCCAGCCCCAATCAACTAATGTCATTCAACCCCTCCGAAATACTTTCAAACAACCCCCCAATTCATATCCAGACCTAAAAGTAGGCTGAGGCTTGGAGCAAGAGTGAGATATGATTAGTTTCTACATTAGTTAGACATGTTCATTCTAATTCAGGCACTTGATTAGATATTCCCCAAATAAGCGCATAACTCCAAATATAAGAAGTCTCTACGCTCTACAAACAGATACTAAATCGAGCCAAATCTAATCTTGTAGTATGGGGGGAAAAACTAGAATAATATCCGCAGAGGGAAAGTATGTCAGCTTTTGTTAATATGGAGGTATCCTTTGAGGGAATAATTATGATGAGAAGCTCAGAGAGAATTCAGCTTTTTGAACTTGCCTAGTACCTCACTGAACCCTCTTGGCTTTTCTCGCCCTTGATTTATTATTAGCGCCAAACCCCCACTCGGCCTCCTAACTTTTACTCTATGTAAGCTCAAGGCTGTTCTTTTTGTTGCAGGTTGTTACGCAAAAATAAAACCTGAAGGGGGAGAAAAACTGAAAGCGCTCATTAGCATTTAAGTGCATGAGTATAATTTTACTAATTCGCACTCACATACGATACGAGTAATTGTCATCCCTCAACTATTTTATTAGCACTTAGACATCCGTGAGCTCACGAGAAAGAGCGGGTCACCAGCAATACATTCTTTTGGAATTAACAATTCAAGAGTTTTTTAAGTAAGAATAAAATAGTTAAGAAATGAAACATACGATCGAATGCGTTGATGGGTGAGTTATCTGCAAATAAAGCCTTGCCCGTTTACATGATTAGTCTTTTCAGAATATAGACCCGATGAAAATACGGAGGCCCAATCCAAAGCCCAACCGGGCCGAATTTGCATCATTCACGGGTTAACGGCACGCGTCTCCCATTGTATAGGTTAAACAAACAACGGCCCAAATGAGTACTGGGCCTACTGGCCCATTGGCCTGAACTTGTTTGTCACAATGAAGTTTAACAGGCCCTTTTGGTGCATAAATACAATTCCATCGATGGCGGATTCTCGAGAAGACTACGATCCACCAAAGCATTAAAACTCATCATCCTCATTTCTTCCTCTCAATACAAAGCCATCTCCTCAAAATCTGTAATTTCCAAAAAAAAAAAAAAAAAAAAAAAAAAATCCCCGCA